TGATCAACCCTACTTAATTTGATGTGCTCTAGTACCTGCTTAACCAGTACTTTACCTAACGTGTAAGTACTGGTAACAAAACACAAATCAAAAGAACTGATACGCAATGTATTTAAAGGAGCTATGTATTTAAGGTAAATGTTATAATAATGAATGAGGGAAAAGTTTAATCAACTTATCTGGCTTGTAAGGCTGAACTAGGGACTCGGAGTACGTGCGTGGTGATCAGCACAATGGAGCGCAAAAATGGCGTCCAAGCCTGCTCGGATGCATGCTCGTTAAAACAAAACTTAAAACACCCTAAGCATCCGGAGGCAAGCTAGAGATTTATTTAGTTAATTTAATTTAAACTATTTATTTTAGCCCTAGTTATATTTTGGTGCCAGGAAGGTGCACTACAGGTTATCCCCCTCCTAGAAGGTTGTTGGGATACCGGCAACCTTCGATCCTAGGAGGCGACTGCGAGGCGGACACGCAACACCTTTCCATATTGGTGATGGAGTAGGTGACGTGTGGGTCTCCGAAGCTAGTGCAACTATGCACACCTACGAGGTAAGATAACTTTGCGTCTAGACGCAACCCTTCTCGCAGTGGTGGAAGGTGACCCAAAGCCTCCGTCTACTTTTCCCTATTGCTTCTTAATCTACCGGGGAGTGTACAGGGGGAAATTGGTACAAAGAGAACCGAAGAACGATCCAAGTAGCATCGTCAGCGGCCAATTGTATCCAATTTTCAACGCATTTTCTAGGTTCTGCAAGAAGAAAGAAATGGGACATTAGAGTGCTAAGAAAAGGAAAACCAAACAATTCGAAGTGGGAGTAGTACAGAAAAAAAAATAATAACCAACCAAAAAAAGTTTTCGGAATTTAAATTGTATTTTTGGTTTTTCTTTTTTTTTTGAAAAAAAAACTGTTTGCAAAGTAGTAAACATGACTTTTGAAAACTTTAGGTATGAAAACGCATTGAAAGTGTATGCCACGACAAAGTAGTTGAAACTCCGAATTCACCAAGTGTGAAGTTGCTCTGGGGCTAATTAACGAACTCGGCGTATCGCTTGGGCCAATGTACACGCCTCCCAGCACGTGTAGAGGTTACTGGATCAGTGTTACTAGACGTGGCTCTTTTAGAAGGTTCAGGATACGCGCGACTAAACGAGTCTGTTAGGGAGTCCGGCGGCAAGGGTCTGGGTGTGCCTGTGGAGGTGTCGCACAATATTGACACTTCACTGTTCAGGAGCGGTAACGCTGTATCTTCAGAGAGGATGAGTGTTGAAGTTTTTCCATCTCCTCGTCTGAATCCTGAAGTTCGGCAATCTTCCGTAAGTCGACTGCTCGAGGCAAAGTAGTGGTGCAAACGCGAGACAGTGCGTCCGCGACAGGGTTATTCACACCAGAAATATGACGGATGTCCGACGTGAATTGCGAAATATAATCTAGGTGACGTAATTCACGCGGTGAATATCTGTCAGTAGTGGTGTGTAAGGCATACGTCAGAGGTTTATGGTCGGTAAAGATGATGAAGTCACGACCTTCCACAAAATGACGAAAATGTTTCACTGAGGCATATATGGCGAGCAGTTCCCTGCCGAAAGTGCTGTACCGCATTTCGCAGGTGGATAACTTCCGGAGAAGAATGCAACTGGGATCCAAGTGTGATCCGAAAGTTGTTGCAACACAGCTCCAATGGCCGTGTTAGAGGCGTCAACCGCAATGCTGAGAGGTAGGTTTACGTCTTGATGCACCAGCATCGTGGCGTCTGCTATTGCGGTTTTGATCTTGCGAAATGCTTCTAGTGCCTCAGGAGTCAAGCTGAAAGTTTTACATTTACTTTTCAGCAGGTCGGTCAGTGCAGTCAAAATGTGTGCACATTGGGGAATGAAGCGACGATAATAGCTCACCATACCCAGAAACACACGCAGAGCTTTAAGTGACGCTGGGACTGGGAAGTCTTGGATCGCCTGTACCTTTTCAGGTAGTGGGCGAATGCCTTGCTCGTCGATAACGTGTCCCAAAAATTTTAGTGAACGAACGCCAATTTGGCATTTGGCCAGGTTGACTGTCATCGAATGCTCTGACAGTCTGGCGAAAACCTGTTTCAAGTGGTTAAATGGTGTCTTCGTCTGGACTAGCGATTAGTATATCGTCTAGGTAGGCATAGGCGAAATCGAGTCCACGTAAAACATCGTGAATAAAACGTTGGAAGGTTTGTGCTGCATTGCGAAGACCAAAAGGCATACGGAGGAACTCAAAAAGACCAAACGGTGTAATGACGGCTGTCTTGGGAACATCATCAGGATGAACCGGGATCTGATGATATGCACGCGTCAAGTCAAGCTTACTGAAGATAACCGAGCCTTTTAAAGATGCAGTCAAGTCGTGAATGTGAGGGACTGGGTAACGATCTGGAATCGTTTTAGCGTTGAGCCTTCGGTAGTCACCACAAGGCCTCCAGTCCATGCCATTGTTCTTGGGTACCACATGCAAGGGTGAAGACCATGGACTGTTGGATGGTCTGATTATTCCCATTTCAAGCATGTGTTCGAACTCGGCTTTTACAGCACGCAGTTTCTCCGGGGATAATCGCCGTGGTTTCGCAAATACTGGCGGGCCAGTCGTCGTTATGTGATGAGAAACGTTCGAAGTCACACAAGGGACACAACGACTTGGCTTAAAGACATCCGGAAAGGACTGAATGATAGACGCGTAGGGACTAGAAGCGTCCGTCGTGCAGTACACGGGACTGAGGGGCGGCGTCTTTGTGACTATACCGGAAACAGAGAGTGTTGTGGTAGAATCTATCAACTTATGCTTGCCAGCATCTACCAGCAGCTGATAGTGCTGCAAGAGATCCATACCAATAATGCCGGTGGTCACATCTGCCACTATGAAAACCCAACGAAAGGGACGACGCAATCCAAGGTTGAGATCGAGGAATCTCCGACCATAGGTTGTGATGGGCGAACCGTTGGCGGCACGAAGTTGCAGAGACATTGGCCGCAGACGCTCTTCCTTCGTAGGTGGGATGACGCTAGCTTCTGCCCCAGTGTCAACTAGGAAGCGTATCCCAGAATGTCGATCAGTGACGAAGAAGAGGCGACATGGAAGTGGCTCGCCAGCGACGTTAGTCGCCGTCACGTGCTGGCTCACACGTTTCCCGCCTGGTTAGCCTCGAAGGTGCAAGGTCGAGTGCACTTTTTGGCATTGGCACCATAACGTTTATGGTACCAGCACAACCTGGGTTGGGATTGTCGCGATTTGGAACGTCTGCTATCGGTACGGGAGGCAGACCTGTTGCGCGAGCGAGACGTGCGACCTTTGTAAGAACTACCAGACCGCATTTCGTTCCTGATGCTGCACAACTCTTCATACAATTTTGAGATGTGAGTTATAACATCGAAACTTGTTGGCTCAACAGCCGAGGGAGGATTTTTGAACGAATCCGTGGCAGTAGACAGTGCAGCTGAGATACTAGTGTTGGGTTTCGTAGCATCCACAGCTCTGTCAGCCGCTTCCGCCAACTCTATTAAGGGGCACTTATGGAAGGGTGCGAGGATCCCTTGAACCGACTGTGGTAACCTCTGTAACCACAGTTGCTTGAGAAATGCTTCATCAATGTTGAAGTCAGCAATCAGCTGCTTCATCTGACGAAGCAGTTGCGTCGGCTTGCGATCACCCAGATGCACATCCCTGAAAAGTTCTTGCACTTTCTGCTGGTCAGTAAGTGCAACACGTTTGATGAGGGCGGTTTTGAGGCGATCGTAAAGATTCGGTGCTGGGTCATCTAGCACATCTGACACGTCTTCAATCACATTTTCCGGTAAGCTGACGATGACTAAGTTGGACTTAGTTTCTTGTGATTGAATGTGTCTCAAGGCAAACTGAGCTTCCACATGGGAGAACCATGCAGATGGTCTGTGGGCCCAGAAGGTGGGAAGCTGGAGGGTTATGGCCATCTGCGCAGTCGAGTCGTTATCCGCCATTGATCAGGGAATTAACGAGGCACGATAGTGATAATAAAAAAATTACAATGCAAAAATAACCAATGAGGAGTGCAATAATATTAAAAAAAAGCTAGACGTGCCAAAAACAAAAATAGGCCAGACAAATCAACGCAAGAGAACAAAGGTACTAGACAAAATAAGAAGTGATACTCGGGCTCACCAATTTTTGTAGGGATGCGTGTTACAATTCCGTAACGTTTGATCAACCCTACTTAATTTGATGTGCTCTAGTACCTGCTTAACCAGTACTTTACCTAACGTGTAAGTACTGGTAACAAAACACAAATCAAAAGAACTGATACGCAATGTATTTAAAGGAGCTATGTATTTAAGGTAAATGTTATAATAATGAATGAGGGAAAAGTTTAATCAACTTATCTGGCTTGTAAGGCTGAACTAGGGACTCGGAGTACGTGCGTGGTGATCAGCACAATGGAGCGCAAAAATGGCGTCCAAGCCTGCTCGGATGCATGCTCGTTAAAACAAAACTTAAAACACCCTAAGCATCCGGAGGCAAGCTAGAGATTTATTTAGTTAATTTAATTTAAACTATTTATTTTAGCCCTAGTTATATTTTGGTGCCAGGAAGGTGCACTACAGCCGAAAGAAAACAACCGAATCAACTGTGCGTAGAACCTTGTTCCTCCTACCGGATCATCGAAGACCGGAATGCCCTGCAAAATGAGCGCTTTAATCCCTTTTAATGAGGGCATTCAAACTGAAAGTAGATCTCCGCAGCGATATCTACTGCAAGGCGTAATGCCAACTTGCCGCCCTACTATCGTTGCTACTGAAGGTCGTAGACTTATCGAAAAGACCTGGATTCACTTTCAGTCTGCAGAAGCCAAAACTCTGTCACCTAAAAGTAATATTTCCACGAGATGAAAGCCTGAACTGAAACCATAAATACGACTCTTACGTGGGGATGTAGACACTGAAAATTGAAGAACAGCGCAGATTTTGAAGGTTTCAACGTCACACTTGCTTAAGGTTTTGCATAATGGAACATAACTATGACTTCAGGTAATTAACATGATTCCATTTATTGTGTAGCGGTGAAGAAAATAATATGGCACAAGGCACTGTTCCTCATATGGATTACTACAACCAATATCCAATGAATTCTGCGCACATCCATGGTCCTCATTTTGATCATACTTACAACACGTTGCATAATTCAAACTACAATTTGGGTGGTACTGGTGAAAAGTATTCAAACATTCATTCTTCTCCAAAACAGCAGTTACCAAGTGGAAGCACATCTGAGTCCTTTGGTTATCCCGTTGACTTCGGGCCTGGGTTTTCACTAAATGAAAAATCTCCAACTCAGGGTAAAGGCGTTTTAGATATTCCTCCTGACTCTAGCCCTAATGGTGAATATCTAGTGGACTTCCGAAATTCAAATGAAAACGAAAGTACGCATGAAACCTCCACTGAATTATTGAAGAGCAACCAGGTGCAGCCAAGAACCGAACTTACAAAAATTGGGAAGACTACTCGTCATTCAGCTAGTACAACTCAGAAACCTAAGGTTCCTCGACAACTGGCAACTGATCGGAATGTGACTAAGGTTCACACCTCATCTAGGTTGAAGAAGAACCAACAGGATCTTCCCATTGAGTCTGCCAGTGAAAGCTTGCAGCGTAAGTTTCAGTTTTTCCCAGTGTTGGGACTCACTCTTAGCTATCTGATGAAATGGGCCCTAAAGGTGGTGTTTCTTTCTAACTTTTAGAGGTTAGAAGTTATTGACTCTTTGTTTAGATGTAGCTAAAAGTTCCATCTTATATCTTGCTTCCACTTGCCCTCTTTCCAACCCATTCTCTCTGCTCACTTGACCTGTTTGTTTATGGAATCTATAAATTGGTGTGTCGCTTTTAGCAGGGAATATTTATTCGTTCGAGTAGCTGTTTGTTCAACTGAACAGCCACCTACTTGTATGATAGTAATAAGTTTTCTGTTAGGTCTACTGTTTTACATGTGCTTGATAATTTTAAATGTTATAGAGAATTAAGTTTCTCAATTCTGGTTACATTGATTTTTTGTTACATTTTGGAAACAGAACCTGATCCTTTTGCACAGTGGTACCAGATGATGTCACAGTACTACAACCAATTTTATCCTGGGTATCAAATGGTACAGCAGCCAACGCTACCACAGCAATCTGTCCCTCATCGCTCATCAAACAGGTCGACAAAAGTGGTAAGTCAACCTCAAGAACTCCAAATGCCATCGGGAAACCAAACAGGATCGTTTGACTATGTCAATTACTACTACCAATATTACGCCGCAGCTGCTGCTGCACAGATGTGGTCTGGTGCCCATCCAAGCCATCTATTGAGTACAACTGTCAATGAAGTCCCACGATTTTATAATACTCCACATATAAAGGCCTGGATGGGCTGTCCTGGTGTTATTGTACAGGTCAGTTACTGGTTTTATGACAAAAATTTCTATGGTACTATAAATAAATTTAAGAATATTTGCGCACAATTATCAGTTTTAAAGCTTAGTAATCTTTTAAACAAAACTATCAAAACTTAGAAACCTGACCATTGTGTAAATAATTTAAATTTGTTTCTAATAAATTGGTTTATTCCACAATTCGTAAGCTCTTTATAAATATTAATAGAAATTTGTTTTGAAAAGAACTCAACTATATCTCCTTTCCAGATTTTACCGTCCAGGCCATTAGATGGAGAACTGGCAAGAGTTGAGTTAATTGACCTTTCTGAGCTGGCAGATGAAGCTGTAGCGGACGCAGCAAAACGAGCAGCAGACACTAGTGGTGGTAGCCTAATTCGTACACGAGATCCCTATTTCATTCCACAACAACCTGAACAAAATGCTCATTTTAGTATTACTGATTCTGGTATGCAAACTCCGAGTCGTCTTTCGAGTATTCCAGCTGGAGGTGCAGGAGATGAAGACACAGAAGAAATGCGTGCGTGTGCCGCCATTACTGCGTGTTGGGATCGAGTGGACCACGTGTTTTATCCAGGACCGCTTGATCGAGTGGGTACTTTAAAGGCGGATGTACTAGCGTTCTTGCGTGAAAAGTTGTCAGAGATTCAGGACCGTTTACCTATTGATTGGGAGTCTGCTGCTTTGTTATTGATGTTTTTGGAAGCTCTAGTTAAAAATAATGGGGTAAGTTGCCTTCCAGTCTATGTAATTTTCGTTTATTTTGATTAGAGTAGATAACGCATTAAACTGCTTTTACTCTCTACTAAGTGACATGTTAAGTAGTTTTGTGGGATATCAAACACTCCACGACCATTATTTACTTTTTGTAATAGTTGACATGCAAAGTTACGTTCCTTTAAATGGCACTTGTGTATTTTAATATGTAGAACAAGAATAGGAAGTCTATTGAGAGATTATTATTAAGGTACTGCAATAGAAAGCATACCATGAGTTAAACCAAGCAATAGGGTGTGCTCACTTAAATGTTTGAAGGTCGTATGAGACGAAGTTAATTCATGCATAATCCAGATTATTTCTATGCCTTCAACCAGTACTGCTGTACTTTAGTAACATAAAGAAGGTAACGAAAGTTTTACGTCCTAACAACTGATGGCTTCCACTTAGATTCTCCACACTTTTCTAGGGCCTCATCCTGACAGTATTATTCACTGGATGACTGAAAATCAAAAAGCTGCCGTCGTGCGAGGTTCTTTGTTGATTTTATCTGTCTGCCATCATATTTCTATGGTCACCTGGAAATTCCCTAGCCTTTCTATTTTAGTGCTATCCTGCATGGCATATGGTTGCCAGTCATAAGCCGATCATGAGTCAAATATTTCAGTTGTTAAGTGGTCGCTGCATACAGTAGTCAACTTTTCGAGAACTCCATTCAGAACTATGAAATTACTTGTGATTCTATCGAATAAATTAAAATATGGATACTGGTAATAATCAGACGTCATTTACCTCATATTTTTTGCTGGTGCAGTGATCCTAGCTTTAGTGAGACGTAATACAAGGTTGCACTGCACAACACATCCTCAGTTGGCATGGAATATCTTAACGGGGCCTTATTTGATATGATCTGGTTGGTTCAATTTAAACCATCTCTATAGAGCTATACCTCGTTGGTTTAGTCAGATGACTTTCATTCACTGTATCTTGGGTTGGATCCTCGCTCCACCTACACAGCTTTAGGCAGCCAGACAGTATCATCAGCCCTTACACAGTAAGTGTAGTTCAATGCCAACTGCACAAATGTGCGCGTGATTACTGAGATCATATTCCCACTGAGATTTTGTAGTGTGGCAACTTGAACCGATGTACCAATGTGCGAAGTTCTACGTTGATTTTGCCAATCAAAAGTCAGTCAGTGAAATTTTGTTGGTTTCCTGTTTCACATGATTAGTTTGTCTGTTTGAGTGAATAAAACATTCTCTTTGTTGACCTACGACTAGAATAGAGTCGCTCTCATCCCCTTTTCAAGACCATTTTCGTAATGCATCTTTCGGTTTTCGTTGCAACTATCTATTTTTTCATAAAAAAAGCACATACAAAGAACCCTACGTCCACACTTGTTCAATGTATTGACCTCTTCAAGTGAGTTATGATCATTTGACGGCATCACAAATAACTATCTACTTCAGTGTGTACTTCTGTGTGAAATATGATCATCCCAGTCTATAAAGGGGAGAAATCTTGTGACAATCATAGGGGAATTAATTTGACTAATAGTGTCCAAGATCCTAGGATCCGTAGTTGTCCGACACCTAATTGGCGCTCAAGAACAACAAACTCGAGAAGACCAGGTAGGTTTCAGGCCTGAACGATAGTACGTCGGTCATATATTCATCCTCCGACAGGTTCTGGAACACAATCATACCTAAATTTGCCTTAGTTGTTGACCTGAAGGAAGCATTTAATTCTGTCGACCGTGAGGTGTTGTGGCAGTGTCTGACTGTGAAGGAAATACCGAGAAATGCTAATCAAAACTTTTTACTTCAACTCACGCAGCCGTGTAATGGCTTGTGGGTAGTCATCCTGTGAATTGACGACAACTAGTGGTGTTCTCCAGGGATGCTCGTTGTCACCGTTCCTGTTTTACTTCGTCGTAGATGTACTGATGGACATAACCTTAGGTGCGGCTGACTTCACAGCCATTTACCGTACTCCCTAGAGGTCATCTGTTTGACTTGGAGTATGCAAACAATATTGCCGTGTTGGGGAAGACGCCAACAAAACGTAGGATCTTCTGTACACGGGCAGAAGTTTGTATATGTTTGGCATACGTTTCGTTGGCACCTTTTAGTTGTAAGATGATGTTTCAGGACTGGTCTGCTGCAACTACTTCTGTTTTAATGGTTGAACGTATCGACCACGTCGCTTTCCTAAGGAGTTGCATCAGCCTGTTGAACGGGCTGATTGCTGAAGAGATCTCAGTTTGGATACAGAAGGCCCGTTTGGTGTTTACCAACTTGCTTCACCTGTGGTGCCAACCAGCGATATGTCTGAATATCTATCAAAGGACGAGTATACTGCGCAGCCGTCCGTTCTGTAATGTTTTACAGTTATCAGACATAGCCGTTTAAAGTAGATGATACGAAGAGATTACTGGGTTTGATCACAGACACCTTCGTAGCATTGTTCGTCTTTGGTAGAATCACCGTATGAGCAATGTTGAAGTCAGGAGATAGGTATTAGGCAAGACAGGCAAGTCGATTGTTGAAGTAGCAAACTTTCGTCGACTGACATGGTTTGGATGTATAGTGTGCATGACAATCCACCATCTACCTCGAGGTCTCATGCAGACTAGAAGAAGTCAGATTAGGTTGGAAGAGAGTTCAAGATAGCTAGACTAAGAACTGACATCAATGCATAAAGTCTTTAACTGTTGGTTTAAGTCTTGTGGGGAGATGTAGACTACCTCCCTAGTTGGGGTACCTGAGATGAAAGGAATCAGTGATTGAAAACCTTTAGTGACATAGCTAAAAATCGGTGACAATGGCGCAGATATTATCATTTCTTGACAGCTTCTAAAGCTTCAGTATTTGCACTAACCGTGTTCATGTAGTTGTCTGCGATGTACATCTATTGTTTGTTAGTGTATCATTCTGCTTGCCTTTCTAGATTTGTGATTTGTTTACTGTCTGTAAAGTTAAACATAACTTTAAATTAAGCAGTGCCATAAAGTCTTGGGACTAAATAATGAAGTATATACATTCTAGTTACCGTAGATAGCTTCTAAAATATTGACTAGTATCATACTTCATCGCTTCTTCAAAAAGTGTAAAAGTTATTCCACGAGGGGCAAAATTGATGTTATTCAGGTTTTGGATGTGTTGACCTACGTTTTCACCCTTCGTCAGATGTTTGAACACACTGCACGTCATCAGTCGTATTTCTAGAGCTGTCTTGTATTCATTGGACATAGATGTACCCTGCAATTGTCTATTGAATAAAGACGTTCCTTATAAGTTCGTTAATGTGTTGTGTACAAATGCAGTCACCTCTTTGCATTATTCCAAATTATCACTGTCACTGCCATTCGATTAGGCTATTCCGCTTTCACTTTATTATCAATGACATCTTTGAGAAAACTTTGAAGAAAGTGTAGATCATCATCATCATTATCAACATAGGACCAGGCATTACTGAGTAGCCCTCCGAGTTGCCACACCTCATATCAGCACATCAAGTAAAAAGGTAGTGAGGTGAAGGATGAAGATAAGTGAATGCAGTCAAAAGAAACATTAAGTACGAGAAGAAAGGAAAGAGGAGTGACAAAATGATGAGATTCGGTATAGCGTTGTTAAGATGAGGATAATGTGTGTGGGGATACATCTGCACCACTGACATCGGTTCTCAGCCATATCACCTAGGGTCTCCAACCACTGGTTCCTCTTGTCCCACGGACCCCAACCACCTAGTCTGCACCGTCCTACATGGCTTGAACCAACAGTCAGAGACTTCATAAGTGTAGATGAGTTACCAAATTAAAGTTTTCGACCTCAAGTATGTACATGATATCATTTTACTGTGCGACAACATGCAGGCTACTCTTTTCTCACCTAATCAGTTGATTAGCAGTAGTTGTAAGTATGGTGTAGATTTTACACTGTAGAAGTATAAGGTGCTCCTACAAGATTGGCAGGGGCCTTAACCTGAGAATGATATGCACCAATCTGAGTCACCCTATTAATGTTGTTACTTTAACGTTGCTGTAAAAGATCGGGTGTACAACTTATCTCTACAGCAGACACTTTAGCTGTAAACCTGTAAAATCTGCCCTCAAATAATAGACTAGACGACGATTGAGTGTGTCTGTTCACTGTTTTTTGCATAGGATTGCTGGCATCCAAAGTGGACACTACGCATGTTTGGTGTGATGAAGATCGTCATTCATCCGGTAAATTCATCTTAAAACATCGATATCACTGACTTTAAATTACGAATGTCGTCCCCATCGGCTCACATACCGTTCAGGGGACTGGTGGGAGGAAACAGAAGGACAGGCGAACAATCAACGTAAAACCTTGCACACAAGTGCATCCATTCAAGTTGTCACACTTCACAGTAGTATACAAAGAACAGGTGGACAGAAGAGTGATAGCAAGGTGAACAAACGTGTGTGACGGGATAAACAATCTGAAGATAACGGTTAATGTAAATACTCAAGCTTTAGAAGTTGTCAATAAATGAATACATCTGCTCCATTGTCACTGATTTTCAACCATATCACCAAGAATAATCAACCACTGATTCTTTTCGTCTCAGCGACCGTGACTACAGAGGTAGTCTACACCTCCGTACACGACTCAGTGACTTCCATTAGAGTCTGTTTAATAAAATTGTCAGGTAATATGATATGAATATGGACAATAAGTTATGCCGAAAACGTTATCCAGTAAATAATACTGTTCCACTATGTGACATTTCTAATAAATAGACTTAAAGGGAGTTGCAGTCTACCGCATTACTCAAGTTTTACTCCTATATTAAGTCAGGAATTTCATGTACAGAAAAGCAAAAAGCCAATTCATGTGTAATGTTACTATGGGTTATCAGCTGTTGGTGCCTCATGACTATTCACATAGTATCCCAAAGATCATACAACTCAGTGATTTGATTCCTTATCAAGTATAACTCAAAATCGGAACCACTGGTGATGGTCATACAACACCTTTCTTGAATTCACTTACTTCTCTGATTTCTTATCTTATCCTAGTTGTTATTTTTACTGAGTATCACATGTTTACACCTAGAACTACTAAACACCTTTACAATTTTATTTGTAACATTCAGTGCTGATATTCAGACCTTACTAACTACTTGTGTTTATTTGTTCTTTTGTTTAAACATTTGGTAATATTCATACCAGAAGTTAATTTCTAAGATAAACTTCTGTATTTTCAATACATTTTTATTATTATTATTATTTTTTGTGTGCAGAATTTGCAAACGTCAGATCTCGTACATCTTTTGTTAGAAGGTCATGAACCAACAACCAGCACTTTTAGAAGTAGTTCTTATGCTGGTGGTACTTCTAATTCCTATTTAGGAGTACATGCACCAATTCATTATTCAAGCAATTTCAATCACTTTTCTCAAGTTGATGGATATATGAATGAATCACTTATTTCATTGCCTAGTAGTCAAGTTCAAAGTGGACGTACAAGTCCTGATTCTCATTTTGAAATTGATTATAGTGCTACAAGTTTACTTCGACATGGAAATAAGGCAGCTTCTGAAACTGGTGGATTAGCTTCTGTTCAAAATATTATTCGACGTGTTGCTGCAGTAAATATAGGAACTGGATTACGTAGTCAAGAGTCAGAAGATAAACTTTTGGATCGTTTCCGAGAGGTAAATGTTTGGATTATATACTTTCAATATTGGTTTTATTTAGTTTTTTTTAGTGGGATAATTAAAATGGTGGGGGAAATTGATGTAGTTGATACCAATATTTACCAAAGTTTTTTTAACGTGATTAGAATTCTTTTTAAGTCAAAATTAAGCTATTTTAGACCTAAAAGTCTGATTGCCTTTTTCTCTTCAAATCAGGAACAGTTTTACAATTAAAAAAAAACACTTTATATTAGCAAAGTCGAGGAATGTTCTTGAATGAGAGAGAGAGAGAGAGAGAGAGAGATATGGTCACGTAGTTATATACAAAAACTGTCTAGATAAATTGAGGCATAAATCGTGAGTACTGAAGACAGAAATCAAGGCAGAATCTTGTATACAAGTGCATCAGTTTAACTCGTTACACTTTACTGTGATAGTGTGCAAAGACTGGCGAAGTTGTGTAAGAGACTAAGCGCTTTAATGATAAGAGTTAGTGTAAATATTCAAGCTTTAGAAGCTGTCAAGAAATGATAATATCTGCGCCATTGTCACCGATTTTTAGCTATGTCACTAAAGGTTTTCAATCACTGATTCCTTTCATCTCAGGTACCCCTACTAGGAGGTAGTCTACATCTCCCCACAAGACTTAAACCAACGGTTAGAGACTTTATGTATTGATGTCAGTTCTTAGTCTAGCTATCTTGAACTCTCTTCCAACCTAATCTGACTTCTTCTAGTCTGCATGAGACCTCGAGGTAGATGGTGGATTGTCATGCACACTATACATCCAAACCATTCAGTCGATGAAAGTTCGCAACTTCAACAATCGACTTGCCTGTCTTGCCTAATACCTATCTCCTGACTTCAACATTGCTCATACAGTGATTCTACCAAAGACGAACAATGCTACGAAGGTGTCTGTGATCAAACCCAGTAATCTCTTCGTATCATCTACTTTTAACGGCCATATTTGGCAAACTGCGTAGTATGTTCATCCTTTGATACGTAGTTGCATATATGACCGATTGGCATCATAGGTGACGAAAGTTGGCAAATCAGTGCTAAAGAGGTTAAACAAGTGGAAACTATTAGGTTAACAATGAGAATTTTAGTTACAGCATAGACGCACAATGTCTTACCTACCAGTGATGTATAAATAATCCAAGATGTATTACTACCCCGGTAATTAGTGTCTTTTCAACCTTCGTCAACACTTTAATTTCTTCATTTGATGCTGTTGTCTTAATCCTTGCTACATATTTTTACTATTATGGTGTCAGTTAATCTCTCGGAGCGGTGGTTTAAGTCTCATCTGTCTCGTTACACAGTGTTGGCGGAAGTAGGTTCAGGCTGGATAAAGGTGAGAAGCGGCCAGACTAAAACATGGCATCAATGTATGAAGTGTTTGACTGTTGTTTTGAACAATGTAGGGCGATGCAGACTGGGTGGTTGGGGTCCGTGGGACAAGAGATTCTAGGTGATATGGCTGTGAAGCGATGCCAGTGGCACAGATGTATCCCCACACACATTATCTCATCTTAACGATGCTATATCAAATCTCACCATTTTCTCATTATTCCTTTCTTTCTTCTCGTACTTTATATTTCTTTTGACTGAATTTTCTTATCTTCATCTTTCACCTCACTACCTTTCTACTTGATGTACTGTACTGAGCTATGGCAACTCAGAGGGTTACGCAGTAATGTCTGGTCGTGTGTTGATATTGATGGATGGATGGATGGAATTAATCTCTCCTATTCATCATTTTGTCTAGATAATTTTTCTACATTTCTATGTGATTACTTATAATTACAAAAACATTACTCACTTTAGCTAATGTTAACATGTTTCTAATTTCACTGAATTCCACTATCTTTTTACTTCCATTTGAATTGTGTCAATTGAAACAATGTTTCCAGATCTTTAACTAACCGATTCACATACTGTGTATTGAGTTTTTTTCTTATCCGAGAATCATGGAATTCTGTAATGAAACAATTCACAAAAAACCAGGCTAAAATAGTGTTATTGTTTTTTAAACATTATATAAATAATGTTTTGATAGAGCTGCATTGAGCTTGCAGTTGTGGTTTAGGGAAATGACTATCAGACGTTGGGTTAAGAGTTCGAACCCTGCCCCACCTACTGTGGTTTGGATAACCGGATAGTATCACTAGCCCTAACACATAATACGTGTGTGGTTCATCGTCCACTGCATGGGATGTGTACTAGGTGGCTGAGTGCGTTTCATTCATTTCTGATGTGTAACTTTTTCCTCATAAACTGAATGGTTAGCGCGTTCGCCTGAGTTCGATTCCCATACTAGAACAAAGCAACTGTCCACTGCTTCCAGGCCTTCAGTGGTTCTTCGTGATGAATTCTACCTAAGGTATTCATTTACTCAAAATATTTCATACTTGAATTCTATCATTCGAAACCCTTGAGAATTTTAAGTTATCTTTCGTTTCATTCTATTCAAGGTGTAACAATAAGCCATTTGCAGTTAAAGACTCTTACAGACTTCTGTTTTGACTTTTCTCTAAAATGCTTCAATATTTCTAAGCCTTATGTGATAAATTTCTCTTCGTTTAGCTATTAATGCATGGTTTACCAATAAAAGCATTGGAACATGCTTGTCGTTCTAAATTATGGGGTCATGCATTCACTCTAGCGCATAGATTAGGACCTCCAACTTTTATGAAAGTAATGGATCGTTTTATGAATAATGATATTTCAATGTCGGATCCAATTCTTACTTTGTATCAACTAACTGCTGGTGAAATGCCACAAGTTATCAACTCTGCAGCGTATGGAAAAGGTAAGTATGCTAATTTATTGAGTTAACAATACATTCAGGTCTGAGATATTCGAATCCAAGGATTTTGATTAGTTTTCAGTTATTTACTCACCTCATTAACGTATATCTTTGGGTTTTGAAATAGTGGAGAATATTTGTTGCTCAGATGGGATGATCTTGGTTGTATTGTGTTCTCTAAGCTGGATGTTCCTGTGTGCTACTGGAAAAGTGCGAGCGGTTGACACTCCCTGACTATCTACTCCGTTGAAGGCTAGTTCTTCTTGTGGTATGTGAAAAAGAACGGATAATGCGTGGTCACGGAGCCCACGCTCCATGACTAAACTGCACAGCTCAGAGACGACGATACGGCCATGTCCTAATATACCCGAGAATCTCATTAGATATTCGTAAAGCAAACACATTGACCACGGTGCAACTTGCCACACCTTACATCACCACATCAAGTTACAAATGAAAGATGAAGAAGGAAAGAAAAACCTGTCAAAGTAAGTAGAAGCAGAGAGTAGTAAAAGCGAGGAAGGACGAATGAAGTGATAATGAGGTTAAGTATAGTGGTTAGTGTGAGGATAATGTGAGTCTGCATTTGCTCCACTGACATCAATTCTGAGCCATATCACCTAGAGTCTCCAACCACTGGTTTCTCTTGTCGTGTGAACCTCAACCGGTTAGTCTGCATTACCCTATGTAGCTCAAACTAACCGTCAAAGACTTCATGAGATAATGCCATACTTTAGCCTGGCCACCGCGAGCCTTTTTCCCGCCTGAACCTACTTCGGTCAATATTGTGTGATGAGGCAGACGGTGGTTAGGCATACATAATACATGTCTCAGCCATCTCAGGGGATGAAGATTCACAACCGCATGAATTTGCTTACCTCTCTTCTCTCTCTCTAAAACTCTACGTCTGAATTCTGCGTTACTAAGGTTGTGATACCATGAAACACGGCGTGTACTACGAAGCCTTCTCATGTCGTCTGTTTTTAATGTCTATGTTTCAGAGTGATACATTAGAATAGAGCATACTGCAACACAGTACACTCGACCCTTATTAAACAGTCGAATATCATGGCCATGATGATTTGTTTTTTGAAAGTAACAGTTTTTTGTCAGTCATAGACTAAGTGATATTCAAAATCGATCCCAGTGGTGTATATGCATTCACTTTCTAATTTACGCTCTGTTTTTTAGTGTCAGCCAACATACCTGTATATTTAGTGCGATAACCATCTTGATAAACCAGTCAATATGTGTAATTTTATACACTCAAATTAGGATTATCTTAAAGATTTGAAGATGGTTCCCGATTATATGAATAAGCATAATAATTTTTCCAGTGATTTCATGGGAACCGTAATATTTTCAAACATCTATCCTTATTCATACTTCTTAACATGAAAATCTGATTACATTGACTTTTTAGCTTTATGTCTTCTGTGAATGCATGTTTTTGATAGTAAGGATCTTTCAATTCTCAACTCTGAAATTCGTTCTTTGGTCTGATAGAATTCCATTTGTCTCTATAAATAACGCTGAAGGAGGACTCTGGTCGAGATATATATCCAGAGTTGACCAAATGTTCAAGAATTGCACTGTTAATTGATTTATATTATCCCCTCAACAACCATGCAGGATAGTGCTTAGAGATACGTTTGAAAAGTGTACGCTTTTGTGCGGCCTATATAACTAGGTCCACAGGAGCAAGGAAATAGCTCTATCAACGCCTGCCATCTGTCAGTGTACAGAATCATACTTAGATTACATTTTTGTTGTTTTGAACACAATCTTAGAACAACATGAGCACCTACAGACGCACCTTACTTATGTTTATTATTTGTCCCTTGAGTTCATAGTGGAACATGGGGCTTCAGTAGCACACCTCCGTTCCACTCTCTTCTCTGCAGTCTTTTGAACCTGGCTCAACGACTGCCCAGAAGCTTTCATTTCTTCTCACATGATCTCCTCTATGTCACCCTCAGCTGAGACGCTCAACTCGTCGTTTCCCATCTGGACGTAGAAAAATTTGGCAACAAAACCACTACGAGTTCTGCTGGACAACGAAAACACCAAAGCCGTGTTCAGTGAGAAGTTGGCTAGGCAGTTATCGGAACAAAAGACTGTCACTCATCCAGAAGAAGCTTGGTGCCATCTTCAGTCTACTGTAAAAGCAGCACTGGAGACTGTAGCCGACTCCAAGATAATGGCTAAAAAGAGCCAGTGGATATCAGCAGCTTCTTCCAAACTAATGGATGCACGTGAATGCATCCCTGCAGGCTCTGAGTACAATGAAGAGCGAGCGCAACTTAAAAATAAACTGACGAAAAGTCTGCGCAACGATCGTGAACAGTGGTGGGCAGCAAAGGCTAAAGAGATGGAAAAGGCAGCGGCGATCGGTAACAGTAGACAGTTATTTAGACTTATTAAGGAGACTGGGGGGAAATGGTCAACAACAGTTAGTGAGGTTATAGCGGAGAAGGACGGATCGGCGATTCACTCGCAGGGAAGGCGACTGGGACGATGGGCAGAACACTTTGAGGAACAGTTTAACTGGCCTCCAGCCACCATTGCGCTGCCCGCTATCCAGTCGGACCCTGAATGGGACATAGAGACAGGTCCCCCAACACTAGAAGAAGTTGAGAAAGCGGTAGGTAGCCTGAAACGGGAAGGGCAGCAGGACCAGACGGACTACCTGCTGAGGTATACAAGAATGGTGGTAGAGTTCTCTTAGTCAGGCTAACGGAAGTGTTAGCCAGTATATGGGAATCAAATACGATCCCCTCCGACTGGTCTAAGTCACTGATCATCCCAGTCTTCAAGAAAGGCGAGAAGTCCTCTTGTGATAACCACAGAGGAATCAGCCTGACAAACATAGTGTCTAAGATCCTAAGTTCTATAATTCTCCGACGCCTGAGTGGAGCTCGGGAACAGCAAGCCCGAGAAAACCAGGCAGGCTTTAGACCTGGCCGTGGATGTATCGACCAAATATTCACACTGCGCCAGGTCCTGGAACATAGGCATGCTTACAGACGCCCGACAATAGCTGTATTTCTCGACCTGAAGGCGGCATTTGACTCCGTTGATCGAGAAGTCTTATGGCAGTGTCTGTCACTGAAAGGCGTGCCTAGTAAGTACATCACCTTATTGAAAGCTCTCTACTCGAACACTTGTGGGCATGTTAGAGCCTATGGTGAGTTGTCCAGGGAGCTATACTCATCAAGTGGTGTCCGTCAAGGATGCCCACTATCCCCATTCTTATTTAATTTTATCATAGATATTCTTATGGAGGTTTCCCTCTCGTCACCTAATTACAAAGACGTTGACCGGACACAGGTGAATTTTCCTTAGATCTAGAATATGCAGATGACATAGTCCTGTTAGGTGAAGACGCTGACAAGATGCAGAGTCTTCTGAACACTTTGAGTGGGAATTTGAGAATGTTTGGGATGCGATTTTCACCACCCAAATGCAAATTTTTGCTCCAGGACTGGTCTTCAGCGGTACCGCGGTTAACAATAGAGAGTGAAGTGGTTGAGTGTGTTGACCACTTCACTTACCTGGGAAGTAGGATCAACTCCGGTGGGTTAGTTGCCGATGAGATTTCTGCACGGATACAAAAGGCTCGATTGGCTTTTGCCAATTTGCGCCACCTATGGCGCCGCCGTGATATTCGTTTGTCTATTAAGGGTCGCGTGTACTGCACAGCAGTCCGCTCTGTTCTACTGTATGGCTGTGAAACATGGCCATTGAAAGTGGAAGACATGAGAAGGTTACAGGTATTTGACCACCGTTGCCTTCGTAGTATAGGACGTATTCCGTGGTGTCACCATGTGAGTAATGCAGAAGTTAGGTGTAGAGTTTTAGGGAGAAGAGGTAAGTCAGTCGACGAGGTTGTGAACCTTCATCGACTGAGATGGTTGGGACACGTACTACGTATGCCTAGTCACCGATTGCCTCGTCACACAATGTTGGCTGAGGTGGGTTCAGGCTGGAAAAAGGCCCGAGGTGGCCAGACTAAAACATGGCACCAATGTATGAAGTCTCTGACTGTTGGTTTAAGCCATGTAGGACGATGCAGACTAGGTGGTTGGGGTCCACGGGACAAGAGGAACCAGTGGTTGGAGACCCTAGGTGATATGGCTCAGAACCGAAGTCAGTGGCGCAGATGTATACACACATTATCCTCATCTTAACAACGCTATACCGAATCTCACTATTTTGTCACTCCTCTTTCCTTTCTTCTCATACTTTATATTTCTTTTGACTGCATTCACTTATCTTCATCCTTCACCTCACTACCTTTTTACTTGATGTGCTGATATGAGGTGTGGCAACTCGGACCGTTACGCAGTAATGCCTGGTCCTATGTTGATAATGATGATGATATGGATTCCACTCGAGTACCTGGCCTGTTGCGTGATGTCCCCAATCAACCTTCTCAATGCATGCCCAATCCATCTCCACTTTCTTCCACTGTATATTTGTTGAGCCATAGGTTCTTGGTTGATTCGTTACCATGACAGAGTTCCTTGTTGATTATTCTTATTATTCTGGCCATCTGATCTTCAGTATGGAGTGAGCGTAGATGGCAGTTGTTGATGAATGTCTGTAGTTTGTTTTAAATGCTCTTCGACACGTGCCAAGTTTGTGAACCGTATAGAAGCACTGACTTGACAATAGTGTCGAAACTCCGGATGTTGTTCACACTTTATGCTGAGTGCAGTGCAGTAGACCTCCACACTGATTTTAGATTAATGCAGGAAGGCCTGTCTTGGTTTCCGATCCTGGCTTTGACATCCCCATCTGTGCGTGTGCCGCCTGTAGTTGAAGCGATGGTGTCTAGGTAGATGGAAGAGACAACTTCCTTTAAATTTCTCCCGTTGATGGTGATTGGTGCTTGATGTCGTTGTCGTTGTTGCATGGCTATCTTCATCACCTCTGTCTTTTCTACGTGCACTTAAAGTGCTGTCTTCGCTGCCTCTTCTGTCAACTTGTTGGTTTTCGCCTGTAGATCTTCGAGTTTGTGTAACACAAGACATTAGATATAAATCATCATCGTTGGCGAAATCCAAATCTTCTAGGGTCTTTCCATCGGTCCAGCGTGTGCCCATCTTCTCGCCTCTCATAGTTTGTTGCATGATCTAGTCTGGTCCAGTCGACCACAATCAGGAAGATCTTAGGTGATAGTAGGCAGCAACCTTGTCTTATTCCTCCATGTCTTCACTTCAAGGGCGTCACTGAGCTTTCCATTGTTAATCACTCGGCATGTGGTGTCTTCATATAGCTATTGAATGAGATTGATAAAGGTTTGTGTCACTAAAACCGTAGTAATGAAGTGGTTGCCAAATAACTTGTCCGTCGACACTGTCAAAGGCCTTTTCAAAGTGGATGAAGTTGAGCTGTCTTTTGTCTTTCCGTGCACTCTTCTTCACTTCTTTGTCCAGTGTAGTGCTTTATAGGTTGTATTCAATTCCTTTTTTAATTGTTCATCCGTTCACTGCACTGCACTGGTTCATCTGCTTCACCATCTTCCTTTCCCCACTCTATCACCTTCCATGTATATGTATCCATGGAGATTCATTCCTTGTCTTCTTTCTTCTTCCTTCCTAACACGGTTATGCAGGTTTCTTCCACATCTCTTTCAAAGAGTTCCAGTGATCTTCCACCCGGGTTTTCTTTACGGATGTTGCTCCAATTTTGTCCTGATGACTGATGTGAAGATGCCATTTGTAGTTTCGTTCTTCAGTTCAGTTTCTCTTCTGGGTGTTGAACTTGAACAGTGGCCTATAACCAACTTTTGTGAAGACTTTCAACTTTATTTTGAAGGTTCCTTGCACTAGATAGTAAGTGGTGTAAACCCACATCTGCTCCCCTTCTCGATATTGTGTCCAGTAGGCTGCGTCTCCACTTTCTTGGGATTGAGATGAATTCGATCTGATTTTAGTGTAGTCTGTCCGTGTGGTGTAATCGAATCCATGTCGCTTTGTGACTTTGTGTTTTTACACTCTGCTTCGAATCATTAGGTTATTGAATGCGCAGAAGTCTGCAAACAGTTCTACATTCTCATTCATTCTGCCGAGTCCTCGACCGATGATGAGTCCTCTTCCTGTGTTGTCCGCTCTGAGTTTGACATTCATGTCGCCCATTAGAATTTTGATGTCGCCGTCTGGCTTTGGGTCTTGTCCAGTACTGATTGCAGTTGTCTTCTCTTCTTCTTTTCTTCTCTTGATCTGCATTATTTGTTGGCGCTTAGCACTGAATGATTGTGATTTCCTTCCTTTTGAGTTGAACCTTGCTGTTTTGATCCTGGAGGAGATGGTTCCCACTGTATGAGAGCCTTCAAGGCTCTTGGAGATATCATGATAGGGACTCCCTCCGTGTGATCGTGGTTGTCGTCTGGGTGACAATATTGGAGTAGATGTTTGACTCTGGAGTTAAGAGTTTGGAGAGTCCACTTCCATTCGATCTGCTTTCGCAGGTTCCTAGCGCTTCTGTGCTATACCTTCTTTTGCAATCTGGGAAGCCTTGGTAGGTTCAAACATTGTTCGGACATACCATGTCCACATATTTACTTTCACTTTCATTTACCAGTTGGCTTCCCGAAGGCTTTCACCGACCGGCGTCTTTCCGTCTCCCCGATTCCAGCAAGGAATAGGTCTATTTTTATTTTTTATATTTTATCTGTGCTTTGAAGTTTCTTAGGCGATTGGATTGGTTTTACGGGGTAAGGGTAGGGTTGCTAGCCCTATGCCCAACCTTTCCTCTTTATCCAGGCTTAGAACCGGCTAGTAACTAGTGAACTAGTTACCTAGGCGAGGTTACTTGTGTTAGTGGTTCTTTATTCCTATGCAATTAATTGCCTCTTTAAAGGCAAGTATTATTGTACTTCCCGTTTATTTGTTGGTTCATGCAGCATTGAATTTCTATTGTTTCTAGGCTGTGATAGTGGTGATTGGAGGCCACATTTAGCCATGATACTAGCTACTCACTCAACACAGTTAGAATTATCGCTTACAGCTCTGGAACGTCTTGGTGATGGCTTGTTGTCTAGAAAACATATATACGCTGCACATCTTTGCTATTTACTAATGAATACTTTAAAATATTCAAATAAAATTGAAGATCAGAGAGAATTTCAATTACCGGCTAAAATATGGTTAATTGGTGTCCCACCGTATAACGATGCAATGAATACAGAATCAATTGGAAGAAATCTTAATGGTATTGGGTTAGGTTATTTTCAATCCCCTTTGTTTGCTACTTCAGAAGCGATTCAACTAACTGAAATATATGAATATGCAAGTCAATTAGCTAATCGTAAATATCGATTACGTCAATTATTGGTAAGTATTTATTCAATGATACAATGAATTTTAGTTAAATTTTTCACAATTTAGCTCTTGACTGTGTGTAAGAAGCATTCTCGTTGTTAACAACTATGATAAAACTATTTTAACAACTAGTCGATGTATGAAATGTTTCACACTAACTTCTGTTATGTGATCTATATTAAAATGTTTACTTTACCCCCTTGTTGTCTGATTTCGAATGAAGTTCACACATTGAACAGTTCAGTGTGAAATCGATGGGTACTAAGAATGAGGTTCCGATGATTTGGATCGTTGAAAGTGGTTAGATTGAGATGTAGGCTAGAAAAGATGGTAAGAAGCTTAACGTTACTATCAGGAGGTGGAAGAAAAATAGAAGGCTGAGTTGAGCAGGGTACGTTATGTTTGATTGCATTTTTGTGTACTACTGAAAGCGTGGGAGTGGTTGACACTTTCATCTATCCACTCTGTAGGAGGGCAAGTTTTTCTTCAGGTATGTGATAAAAAAAAGGGATAGTGAGTGATCACAGAGACCGGTTACACTCGAATCCGACTATGAATCCCTGTCGCAGGCATCGGCATACTGCCGATCTTTCTAATTTGGTAGAACCTTGAGGGTCTGGATGAGATCTGACATTCATGACTCAATCCTCCACGAAGTCTCTATGATAAGAATAAAGTAGCTAAGGCTTTCAACAGCTCTCCAACTTACGTTAGTCTTCCTAGTTATTCACTCAAAATCTTATTGAATGAATGAAATACTATTCCTTTTCATCACTTTTCTACCATGTTTTTTTTTGTGTTGTTTTTTCAGCCTTTTCGTCTGATCTATGCTATTCGACTATTAGACGCTGGTTTAGTTGAAAAAGCCTATCAATATTTAAAAGCTATTGGAAATGAAATCCTTTTAGAATTCGATGAAAATTTATCTAAAAACAATTTTCAAATGAATCTATCAATCCTTTATTATATTGTTTAACTAGTAATTGTTTACGATTTGTAGAACCATTACAATATCATTCAGAAATAGACAGTTTTGATATACAATTGAATACTACTCAAATAGATTATGGATTTGGATTTACAGTCAGTAGTAGTACACCGCAAATTTCCTATATGAACACCAACAACAAGGATAAAAATTGGATAAGACGATTAAGTGAAATTTATGAACAAATGAATAGAAAGGTATATATTATTCTTTACTGTGAATTATATAAATATGATAATGACTTTGTGTATGTGATAATTAATGTCTCTCTAACATGCACTGAGAAGGCCGACTGAGGACATCACGCGTCAGGCCAGTTGCTCGAGTGGAATCCCCATGGGAAGCGACGAGTTGGACGTCTGAGGGTGACATGGAGGAGGTCGTGTTAGGAGGGAATGAAAGCTTCTGGGCTGTCGTGGAACCAGGTTTATAAAAGATCTCAGAGAACAGAGGTCACTGGAGACGTGCTACTGAAGCCCTATGTTCCACTAGGAACCCAAGGGACTAATAATAAAATAATAATAACATAGTTTAGCTTCTAAGTAAATAGGATTAAAATATTGGGCTTAGGTGGTTTAAATTGCCGTCTGCCTTGTTACTACACAATGTTGACAGAAGTAGGTTCAGGCTGCGAAGGAGTTCAGAGTGATCAGACTAAAACATAGGCCCCAATATATGAAGTGTTTGACTGTTGTTTTGAGCGATGTAAGGCTATACAGACTGAGTGGTTAGGGTCGGCAGGACAAAAGACTCTAGGTGATATGGCTGAGAATCGATGTCAGTGACGTAGATATATCTCATCTTAACGATGCTATATCGAATCTCACCATTTTCTCATTCTTCCTCCTTCTCTCTTCTCTTACTTTATATTTCTTTCGACTGAATTTTTCTTTCCTTCTCACCTTCCACTTCACTGCCTTCTTACTTGATGTGGTGGTTTGAGGTGTGGCAACTCGGAGGGTTACGCAGTAATGTCTGGTCCTATGTTGATATAGATGGATGGTTTAATTATACTCTCAACTACTTACACTGCATGGAGACACGTAAAGCTACAAATAACTTCATATTCGATTTATCACGCCATCATATATCAACAGTTTGTCACAATCACTATCTTATCTGCTGAAACTTGAACATACCATTGTTAAGAATTGATTGCTTAATCGTTCCTCTCTGCTTTGTGTTTCAACTCGCTTGTCACAATATTATACACGGTTCGTAATCTACCTTCAATTCTCTATTAACATTAAATTTTCATTTACATATCGAACTGGATTAGTTTAGTGAGAGGGTTCAAGGTGGTCAGACTAAAACCTGGCACCAGTCAATGAAGTCCCTAACTATTAGTCTAAGTCATGTGAGTAGATGTAGACTGTTTGGTTAAGTCGTCAAGAAGACAGGAATCAGTGCATTGAATACTCTTGGTGATGTGAAGCAGATATTATTCACTCCTCGGCATCTTCTAAAGCTTGAATATTTCCACTAACATATAATTATTATTATTTGTCCCTTGGGTTCGTAGTGAAACACATGGCTTCAGTAGCACGTCTCCATTTCACTCTCTTCTCTGCAGTCTTTTCAACCTGGCTCAACGACTGCCCAGAAGCTTCATTTCTTCCTCACACCATCTCCTCCATGTCATCCTCACCTGACACGCCCAACTCGCCGTTTCTCATCTGGGTTCCACTCGAAGCCTGATGCGTGATATCCCCAGTCGGTCTTCTCAGTGTATGCTCAATCCATCTCCACTTTCTTCCACTGCATATTTGTTGGTCGATAGGTTCTTGGTTGATTCGTTGCCAGGCCAGAGTTGCTTGTTGATTATTCTCATTATTCTGACCATCTGAACTTCAGTATCCAGCCAGCGTAGTGGCAGTTGTTGATGAATGTCAGTAGTTTGTTGGAAATGCCTTTCGTAAGGCGCCAAGTCTCTGAGCCATACAGAAGCACTAACTTGACGTTGGTGTTGAGATGCGGATGTTGTTCACGCTTTATGCTGAGCTGAGTGCAGAAGATCTCCACACTGATTTCAGGTTAATGAACGCCAGTCTCGCTTTTCCAATCCTGGCTTTGACTTCCTCATCTGTGAATGTGTCGCCTGTAGTTGAAACAGTGCTGCCTACATAGGTGAAAGAAGCTACTTCCTTAATGATGATTGGAGCTTGTTGTTGGTGGTGTTGTTGGTTGGGTATCTTCATCACCTCTGTCTTCTCTATATTCATTTGAAGTCGCGTCTTGCTGCCCAGCCTCTTCTATCAACTTGTTAGTTTTTGCCTGTAGATCTTCGAGTTTGTGTGACATTAGACACAAGTCATCATCGTTGGCGAAATCCAAATCTTGTAGGATCTTTTCTACGGTCCAGTGTGTGCCCCTCCTCTGGCTCTTCACAGTTTGTTGTATGATCCAGTCGACTAGAATCAGGAAGATGATTGGTGATAGTAGTCGGCAGTCTTGTTTTACTCCTGTTTTCACTTGAAAGGTATCACTGAGTTTTCCATTGTGAATTACTTGACATGTGGCGTTTTCAGATAGTTGTTGAATGAGATTAATAAAGGTTTGTGGTATTCCGTAGTGTTGAAGCAGGTACCTGCCAAATGACTTCTCGGTCGACGCTGTTAAAAGCGTTTTTCAAAGTCGATGAAGTTGAGGTAAGATAGATAGTTGACTACCATTCTATGCTCTGTTCTATGATGATGCATAGCGTTGCAATTTGATCCGAACATGATTTATGCTTCAGATTGTTTATTCTCTCATACAACTTTATATACTACTATAAGCAACTAGAACCGATTAAGGTGTATATGAGGTTCTACATCAATTGTCTGTCTATTTGTCTGATTTTCATTGATTTTATTTCATCAAATTGTCATCATGTTAAAATCTCTTAGCGGGGGGGGGGGGAGGGGGGGGGAACGGGTGGGCGGGGAGGGGGATAATGTTCCGGCTGATTAACTGTCTTACAGTATTGTGTCATAAATCATAGAATATTGATTAGTAAATTATATAAGTTCATAATATTGTAAAGTTTGGTGCTTTAAAAAACAAAAAAACAAACTTATTTCTTAATATTTAGGTGAATTATCCACTTTACCATTCAGCTAATTTTCAATCTAATATGGAAAAAACAAACATTTCTTTAAAAGATGTTCATTTTACCAATACTGATATAAATGTCAACCAATCATCACATCATACCAATATCTACAATTATTCAATTCAAGAATTAAATTGTACAACATCACCTGAACATAAACTAAATGTTCAGAATACCCCTTTATTGTCAGGTGATAATGAGCAAGTAAAGATGAATATGAATAGTCCTCATAACCGAATATCTCAAGGAACTGATGATTCTTATGTTTTTCAAGGTGTTAAAACTTCAGAACACAATGTTACTGTATCAAATAATGAATGTATAATAGCATCATCATTGTATTCTTCTATGAGAAGTAAACCTGGTCAGTTAGAGTATACTCCTCAGACTGCTCCAAATGTTAGCAGTTCTTTTATCCAGTCTCAGGTTAGTCTTTACTTTTTAATGTTCATTGTAGAGTGTAAGGAATGAGGAATATTATTTACATGGTTGTAGTGTTAGCACAGTAATCCAGAATGCGTATTTCGTCCTACTTGGGACTCGTCAGCTGGATGTACCTATACCCCAGTGAGGTATTGTTATTCCCATTGAAACTCGGAACTCATACCCATCGCTTCAAATGCCAAGGCGTTCGTTATCCACTATACTACGGAGGAATGGATAGCCACTTCTTGTACAATAAGTAGTAGTTATTACTATTTATTGACACATTTGTAATTCTCCGTTGTTTTACTGGATCGATATTACCTGAATGGTAATTATGGTTATTTGTTAGGTCGAACAATCCGACCCAATAAAACAAGCATGTCAATAAATAGTAATAACTACTACCTGTTGTACAAGAAGTGGCTATCCATTCCTCCGTAGCATATTTGATAACAAACACCTTGGCGTTTGAAGGGATGGGTATAAGGTTCGAGTGTCAATGGGGACAACATACTTCACTAGGGTACAGGTACATTCAGCTGACGAGTCCCGAATCTGACGAAACATGCTTCCTAGATTCTTTCCTCTGCTAGCCACAACCAACTAAATTACCACAGTTGATATTTAGTCAGTATCGAAGCATCCGCATAGGAGTTCATATACCAATAGAGGTCGAACAATTCGATCGAATAAAACAACAAAGTATTACAATTATATATTAGTAAATAGTAATGAGGAATACTATTTACCTCTTTGGTTTGTTTTTACTTATTAGATAGATTGTTCTGAAGTGGAACATATTTAATAAAAGTTTCATCTTGTAATTTCCGTTCAAATTGAGTCATGACTACTGTTGAACTATCACTGACCATTCCTATTTCTTTCGATCAAGTTATTACGTACCATTAATCCTATTGGAATACTTTTAACTTAAACTATCGTACATCAATCAATCTCAACCTGAATGTATTAGGCTAAGTGGATACGTGTTTGTTTAATGGTTGCATTCTTGTATAGTTAATGAGCAAGGTTGTGATCCATTAGTCAATCGATAGGTCAAGAGTTCGAACTCCACTCTGACTTTGAAGATTTGAGCAACCAGATAGTGTTGTTGGCTCTCTTACACAATAGGCGTGGTTTGTTGCACACATGATAAAAATGTGCACAAGTTTCTTGAGTGATATTTTCATATTTTCGTTCATTTCTTTTTGCTCTGCTTTGTAAAATGTGATAATGGCTGTTGATTCACTTTTGTACATGGTTCTATATTGTCCTGTTTTTATGTATATATGAGTAGCCATGTTTGATAGTGTTTGTCTCATCACTGAGGATAATGTGTGTGGGGATACATCTGCGCAACTGACATTGCTTCACAGCCATATCACCTAGAGTCAGTCTCTAACCACTGGTTCCTCTTGTCCCGCGGACCCCAAACACCTAGTCTGCATTGCCCCACATGGATCAAACCAACAGTCAGAGACTTTAGACATTGATGCCATGTTTTAGTCTGGCCATCTCGGGCCTTTTTCAAGCCTGAACCTACATCGGCCAACATTGTGTGACGAGGCAATCGCTGACTAGGCATAAGTAACACGTGTCGGAACCAACCATCTCAGTCGATGAAAGCTTATAAACTCGTCAACTGATTTACCTCTTCTCCCTAAAACTCTGTACTTGACTTCTGTGGTGACACCACAGAATACGGTCTATACTACGAAGGCAACAGTAGTCAAACACTTGAAGCCTTCTCATGTCTTCCACCGTCACTGGGAATGTTTCACAGCCATACAGTAGAACAGACCGAACTGCCGTGAAGTACAAGCGACCCTTAATAGACAATCGGATATCACGGTGGCGTAAGTTGGCAAAAGACAGCCGGGGGCTAGAACCGTGACCCACTGGTCGAATGTCAAATGTACTTACACCTCTGATTTAGGATTTGAAATCTTGAATTCTTTGAACGCTTATCGCAAAAAATAGTAATTAAATGTAAATATTTAATTATTCTTTTTAGATGTTTAATCATGAAATTTCTACCCAACAGTCAACTTATACACATCCACAACAATCATATTCCTCATCAATATCAAATGTTCAACGTAATCATGATCAAATTACTAATGGTTCATCAATTCATTTATCAAAATGTCTACCATCTTCATCATCAAGTAATCAAGTATATTCAACTTTACAATCTTATACCAATGATGATATAATGAAGTCGAATACAATTCCATATTCAATGGAACCTCAATTTTCACCACAACATCATTCTACTATTCATTCTAGTTCAAGTAAACAATCAGTTAGCGGAAATATGTTCTTTACCCCGTTACCACAAACTGATTCATATACAGATACTTCATCTGTTTCCAATCAACAAGCATTTGACTATTTTGCGAATATTGAAAGTGTAAGTTGACAATTGTTTTTTAGTTTGTGTTTTATCTCCCCCCCCTGCCCCGCCCCGCTCCATATGTTTCATGGTTATTCACGTCGTATATATTTTTTTCTTCAAATTTATTTAGATTCATACACGTTCTCGTACAGTTTCCGGTGATTCTGAACGCAATACGGCATGCATAACGAATCCTTCTGGTTCTTTTACCGATCAAGTCAGTACATTTTGATTGCTCGAATCACTTTTATCAAATCAGTTTTAATAATTAGTAATAATACTAATAATAATATTATGATTATTTTAGGACTAATGGTAACGTCTCTTACTGAAAAGCGTGCCGAGTAATTACATCACCTTATTGAAGGCTTTCTACTAGAATACTTGTGGGCATGTTAGAGCCTATGGTGAGATGTCTAGGGAGGTGTACTCGTCGGTTGGTGTCCCACTCTCTCCATTCTTATTCAATTTTATCATAGATATGCTTATGCAGGTCTCCCTCTCGTCACCTGACTACACAGAGGTTGACCTAATCTCAGGAGAATTTTCGTTAGACCTAAAATATGCAGATGACATAGTCATGTTAGGTGAAGACACTGACTGATGAGATGCAGAGTCTTGTGAAGACTTTGAGTTGGAATTTGAGAATGTTTGGGATGCGATTTTCACTACCTAAATGCAAATTGCTGCTCCAGGACTGGTCTTCAACGATGCCTCAGCTAACAATAGAGAGTGAGTGTAGTAGTTCAGTGTGTCGACCACTTCACCTACCTGGGAAGTAGGATCAACCCCGGTGGGTTAGTTGCGGATGAGATTTCTGTACGGATACAAAAGGCTCGATTGGCTTTTGCCAATTTGCGCCACCTATAGTGCCGCCGTGATATTCGTTTGTCTATTAAGGGTCGCGTGTACTGCACTTGCACGGCAGTCCGCTCTGTTCTACTGTATGGCTGTGAAACATGGCCATTGAAAGTGGAAGACATGAGAAGGCTTCAGGTGTTTGACCACCGTTGCCTTCGTAGTATAGGACGTATTCCGTGGTGTCACCATGTGAGTAATGTAGAAGTCAGGTGTAGAGTTTTAGGGAGAAGAGGTAAATCATTTGATACGGTTGTGAACCTTCATCGACTGAGATGGTTGGGACACGTACTACGTATGCCTAGTCACCGATTGCCTCGTCACACAATGTTTGCCGATGTAGGTTCAGGCTTGAAAAAGGCCTGAGGTGGCCAGACTAAAACATGGCACCAATGTATGAAGTCTCTGACTGTTGGCTTAAGCATGTAGGACGATGCAGACTAGGTGGTTGGGGTCTGCGGGACAAGAGGAACCAGTGGTTGGAGACCCTAGGTGGCTGAGAACCGAAGTCAGTGGCACAGATGTATACACACATTATCCTCATCTTAACAACGCTATACCGAATCTCACCATTTTGTCACTCCTCTTTCCTTTCTTCTCGTACTTTATATTTCTTTTGACTGCATTCACTTATCTTCATCCTTCACCTCACTACCTTTTTACTTGATGTGCTGATATGAGGTGTGGCAACTCGGAGGGCTACTCAGTAATGCCTGGTTGTATGTTGATAATGATGATGATGATGAGTCTCTTCCTCTACATCCACTAGGTTAGTTTTAAGTATTTCCACTCTGTCCCATTCTGTTGTGTGATTAAGTGCAGTTGGATGCATAGTTTAGGGCTGAGCTTCTTTCCAAATCTCTTTATCTAACTAAGATCTATCAACTTTGACCCTAGTCGACTACTTTATGACTGACCGATTAGTTTGACCTCTCAATCAATTGTAATGGTTTTGTGTAAACTAAATTATTCCGCTTAATTGGATCAGTACAATGTTTTAACTCACTTAGAAATATGATTTGTTGATGAAAAAGATCCTATTGATCCAATTAAGGTAGACTAATTTAGTTAACTGAATCCCTTTGAAACTTTTTTGAGGTGAAATACACATAGATCAGAGTGGTCGATCAGAGTCATTTAGGCTATCCAAGCACTTAAAAATGTAATCAGATCAAAATTGATAGATTCTAGCCTTACCATAGTTGTGCATTCAACTACATACAACACTAAATACATCGAGCAATAGGACTGACTTATAATACCTGTCCTGGATACGTGATATATCTTATTAAGTAGATCATGAAGACGGTGAGAAAGTGAGGACTATAATAAATCATATCTGAAAGCTATAAGGTTGTCTTGATGTGACTATAGACAATATGTCCAGTAGACAATACTATCCCATTATGTATGATACATTCAAAAGTCATTATTATTCTTTTAGACACCAAGTGTACGATCAAGAAACAACAGTGGTCCTAATTATTCATATCAAAATTCACTTGGAAATGAACGTCAATATCAAATGCAATCGCAACAACAACAACAACAACAACAACAACAACAACAATCCACTAATAGTAGTATATCACAACCATCTCGTTTCTCAACTCAAATCTCTACACATCCATCCTCAGTTAAAGATGATATAAACGAAGATTATATCACTGAACGATTATCTCAGGTGAAATCAAAAGAATATGATAATTTAGATAAGAATCAGCAGTCAAAAGTATGTTGTTATTGGTTATTATTACTACGGTTTTCTTTGTTTTTGTTTTTTTCTAATAAAGTTTGAAATCTCATCAGACAAGATCAATGTAGAATCTTGTATACAATGTTGTACATTATCTTAACTCATCATATTTCATAAAGAATATATGGATAGAAAAGTAGGTAGAAGGTGTATACGAGAGAATAAAGAATTTGAAGATAAAGATCCATCGAGTATCCTCAGGGATTACCACAGTCAGACAGTTGACATTGTCCTACACACTTTAGACTAATTAAAGAAGACTACATCGACTGATACGACGTATTAGTCTGGCCATTGTGAACACAGTCAACTTAATTCGACTTTCTTTAGCACTACAACCAAATTATCTCAGTCGATTAAGGTTCACAACTTTATCCATCAATTTACTAGCCTGTTTTGAATATCTAGTTCCTTTTTCTCTCTTGTTCAATATAATCTAGCCCGCCTTTTGTTGAAAAAATAAACAGGATACTGTTATTATTATTTGTCCTTTGGGTTCCTAATAGAACATAGGGCTTCAGTAGCACGTCTCCATTGCATTCTGTTCTGTGCAATCTTTTGAACCTGGCTCCACGACAGCCCACAAACTCTCATTTCTTCCTCACACCATCTCCTCCATGTCATCCTCACCTGAGACACCCAACTGGTCACTTCCCATCTGGGTTCCACTTGAGTACCTGGCCTGGCGCGTGTTGCCCCCACCTCAGTGCATGTCCGATCTATCTCCACTTTCTTCCACTGCATATTTGTTGGGTGATAGGTTCTTGGTTGATTTGTTGCCAGGCCAGAGTTGCTTGTTGATTATTCTTATTATTCTGACCATCTGAGTTTCAGTATGGAGTGAGCGTAGATGGCAGTTGTTGATGTATGTCTACAGTTTGTTGTAGATTGACTCAACACTACTTTAAAGAACAAAAGACGACAGTATGCAGTCGATCTGTTATCATCGTTTTAATCCCATGAAACTATATGCATGTTTATATACTAGGCTATTAGTTATACATATTACGACTTCTCTTAGTACTATTCTTCTGTCTAGATAAATATAAGAAGGCAGAACTTGAAAGATGTATTGATTTTAGGTTAGAATTCACTATGGATTGATATGAGTTAGAAAAACACTGGAAAACTGAGAGCACTGGACAACTGTTTTGTCCTAACATGCGACTCCTCGGTAGTGCGCACCTATGACCCTCCCCAACCCGGCTGGGATCGAACCCAGTACCTTCAAGTTTCGTGGCCAGTACATTACGATTGAGGTAGCCACTAGGTCAGAATCCAATGGTCCATATTTCGTACCTCTTACTGCTTGAAATATGAGTGGCTATCCAACTTAGATAGCCATAATTCTGATAGAATAAAGCTATCTGTTTGACAGTGATGTTTGATATGTAAGCTAATTAGCTGATTTTTTTAAATTGAAAATGCTGCCTATTGAATAAATTTTTAACTGTAATGTTTCTAAGGTAAAAAATTATAAATCCGTGTTGCCGTTTCGGACTGTGAGTATAAGTGTCAACATAAGACCAAATTGCCAATCCTCTGGGTTGGATTAATTTTATCGTGAAGCTTTCATGACTATTTAGTATCTTGTCCTGTTGACCTTGTGTGCGATTGGTTGTTTCTGCCATAGTCTTTTCAGTGTCTTCATATTTATTTTCATTGGTTATCCTAATGACCTAAAATTTGACCTTGTCGTTTCTTATTGGTTGATAGATCGGATCACTGTCAATATGTCTGTTGATTGCTGACTGACCTAAATACCAATTATTATTATTATTATTATTATTATTATTATTATTATATTATTATATTATTATTACTATTATTATTTATCCTTTGGGTTCCTAATAGAACATAGGGCTTCAGTAGCACGTCTCCATTGCATTCTGTTCTGTGCAATCTTTTGAACCTGGCTCCACGACAGCCCACAAACTCTCATTTCTTCCTCACACCATCTCCTCCATGTCATCCTCACCTGAGACACCCAACTGGTCACTTCCCATCTGGGTTCCACTTGAGTACCTGGCCTGGCGCGTGTTGCCCCCACCTCAGTGCATGTCCGATCTATCTCCACTTTCTTCCACTGCATATTTGTTGGGTGATAGGTTCTTGGTTGATTTGTTGCCATGCCAGAGTTGCTTGTTGATTATTCTGGCCATCTGATCTTCAGTATGGAGTGAGCGTAGATGGCAGTTGTTGATGAATGTCTGTAGTTTGTTGTAAATGTTCTTCGAAACGTGCCAAGTTTGTGAACCGTATAGAAGCACTGACTTGACGTTGGTGTTGAGAATGCGGATGTTGTTCACGCTTTATACTGTGTGCAGAAGATCTCCACACTAGTTTCAGGTTAATGAACGCCAGTCTCGCTTTTCCAATCCTGGCTTTGGCGTCCTCATCTGTGAATGTGTCGCCTGTAGTTGAAACAGTGCTGCCTACATAGGTGAAAGAAGCTACTTCCTTTAAGTTTCTCCCGTTAATGATGATTGGAGCTTGTTGTTGGTTGGGTATCTTCATCACCTCTGTCTTTTCTATATTCATTTGAAGTCGCGTCTTTGCTGCCCAGCCTCTTCTATCAACTTGTTAGTTTTTGCCTGTAGATCTTCGAGTTTGTGTGACATTAGACACAAGTCATCATCGTTGGCGAAATCTTTATCTTGTAGGATCTTTTCTACGGTCCAGTGTGTGCCCCTCTTCTGGCTCTTCACAGTTTGTTGCATGATCCAGTCGACTAGAATCAGGAAGATGATTGGTGATAGTAGTCGGCAGTCTTGTTTTACTCCTGTTTTCACTTGAAAGGTATCACTGAGTTTTCTATTGTGAATTACTTGACATGTGGCGTTTTCAGATAGTTGTTGAATAATGAGATTGATAAAGGTTTGCAGTTTGCTTCTAGAAAATTCTCTGTATTTCCTCTCACCGGGGTTTCCATATTTCTCTAGCCGAATTCATGTCCACAGCTATTTAAGTGTATTGATATTTGAGCGAAGATATGTCATGACCCTTAACTCTTAGTTGATGTTTACATAAACGCAAAAGGTTGGGTTTCGGTGCCAGTATTCCCGCTCTACACCTGTGAAACCTTGAAGATCCTAGCTGTGGGTGTGTTTGATTGCCGTTGTCTTCATAGGATTGCTCACCATGTAAGTAATTCTGAGGCACGACAGTTTGTTATTGGGAATGTTGAATTTCGTCACTCACTCGTTGAGGTTATCTTGAAAACACTGTGTTCGGTGGCTTTTATATGTATTACACATGTCGTCTCAGCGAACTTCCATACTGTTCGGTGTTTACTAGCCCTAGGATTGGATGGAAGAAGTGGGCGGGGGCTGGTCAGTGTATGACGTGGCGCCGTGGGATGAAATGCATAGTTGTATCGGGTTAACATGTGTGTAGGTGCATCACGACTCCATGCGTAGGGGTGGAGTTGGGGTCTGAGAGATCACTCAAGTGAGAGTGACCTGACACTATCAGATATGCTGTAGCTTCTTTCTATGTGGTGCTACTGAAAAGTGATGAATGTTGTTATATTATTTTATGTGATACATTTCTTGGTGTTCTTGCTGTACCATGTTTGTGTTCTAATAATAATAACAACAATAACTGCTTGGTTTTCTAATCTTATAACTGACTGAGTGACTAACTGACAAGATGAGTGTAGAATTTCGGATATCTCGGTGCATCTGTTCAACTTAACATACTTCACAGTAACTCTAAGATCAGCTATTTCCTTGTGCTTAGGTGAATGAAGTAGATATTACCAGGTCAATAAAACAGGCAACTTTGTGTGATGAATAATGCTCCATAACTTTATGTATCTGCAAATTCACATACTCCTGTATAGCTGACTATATTGGATGCTGTAAGCTGGCCCTCTAAAAATGTATTTACTGAACAATATTACCCAGTTTGACTTACTCTAAAAGTGAAAGAAAACTACTTCATTCATATGTGAACATTTAGTAGAGTTAGTCAGCTCCTCTCAAGATTCATCCTTCAAAGATGTACATTTCCACCATTTATCCTTATAGCTAAAGCATTAGCTGTATATAATCAGTAGTTGAACTTAGTACTCAGTTTGTAGAGTATTGAGCCAGAAACCTGGTGTTAGTTGCTAGTTCGAATTCCGCCACTGTCCAAATCTTCATTTCATCTTTAATCATTAATCAGTAACAGTACTAGTCTACCAAAACCACGTTAATACATTGTCTGACTTACTGCTCTAAACAGAGTCAACTAGTGGATGACAGATTCATGATCTTCTCAATGTATTTTTATATTTGATCAACTAGACAATGACATTAAGCGAGAAGACAATATGTGTGTTGTTCATTACCTCCACATGATGGACACTGACTGACTCTCACCTATCATGTACTATATGTCTCTATGGTGTTGTAAATACTACCATATAAAGTTTTGAAATAGTGGAGAATATTTGTAGCTCAGGTGGATAGAACTGATAGAACTCATCGACCTTTGTTTAACAACATACTTCCAATTCAACGGCAACTCCAATGGGATCATAGATATACGGACTAATTGGAGAAGCAGTGGATACAGAGACTGGAAGCCATCATTCTACCTATGATTAAAACAAATACTTTGATAAGCTATGTAGACGATATTTTTGTCATCATTAAAAAACCACCCACAGTTTGGTTAACAACATTTTCAATGATATCAAATTCACAATGAAAAAGGAGTCAAACAACCAACTACCATTCCTAGATGTTTTAGTCAGTAGGACAAATGCTTGCAAGCTGGAAACTCAAGTATACACACACACTGATGAAATCCTCAACTACAGTAGTAACAAGGCACAAAATCAGCTGTGTGCAGACTCTGTTCAAAAGAGCGAGAACACACTATAGTACAACAACTTCATGGAAAAATGAAGAAAATTACTTGATATCTATCCTAAAGAAGAACGGCTACCTACGAAACCTTGTCAGAAGATGCCTATCCCCTGCATCATCAACTACTCAGTCAACCACAGAAATCAATAAACGCATCATTCTACCATACATAAAGAATATATCAGAAATCATGACAAGATTACTGAGACCACTTGGAATTGGTGGGGCTCATAAACCAACAAATTCCCTACAAACCCTACCCTATTATGCAGACCAAAGGATGCAACAACCAAAGAAGACTAATTGAATATTATTTACAAAATCAACTGGAATAACTGTAGTCAACACTACATTGGACAAAGTGGCCGTCCTCTTCACCTTCGTCTACATGAGAACACCAATTGGCTATTAGACGTCACACCCGACATTTCATCACAGAGAATTCCTAGAAGCTTAGCATTCAGCTCAGTTCAGTCAGTCAGCAATCAACAGATGTATAGACATAGACCGCAATCTATCAACCAATGAAGAAAATGATAAATGACAGGAAGGTCCAAGGAACAGTGAACAGGAAAATCTATGCAATCAATCAATGGCACAGTAATCAAAGGAGACAACCAATCACAGATCATTTCGTCAGCGTAAGCTACTAAATCACTAAGGGAGAGATATTAACAGCCTACTTCATAGGTGAAGTTAGCGCTGTGGATGATGTCGTCGAGAAAGATCATAAAAGCTTCTTTATTAAACAACCCAGCTCTCTCAGAGAACACAATACAACCAAGACCATACAAACATTTTGTTTGCATATATATATATATATGTATACTAATGTCTCCATTAGCTAAAACAAGTAAATATGCGTCAAATTGATCAAATCGACTTATTTTCTTTGCAGGATGGTTGGCTGTCAGGTTGGTTTGGACGTTTAAAGAAAAATGGAGCCAAGAATATTCATCTACCAGATGATTCTAAGCCTTCTGTGAGTGGTTACAGTACCATTGAGATCGGAGTTTATTATTCATCATAATCATGTTGTTTATTTATGTCCGAATTATCTATACTAGTCTAATTCAGCTTTATTCATGTTTCTTTCAGTCAATTTTTTTTCCTGTGTAAAACTTGATTTTAATTTCAAGTTGGTATTCAATTATGGACTAACATCAGGTAGAGAAACATTGGAAACCTGGTGGCACTGAACAGCTGTTCTGTCTTAGACGTGGACGGGGGCATGAGAACATTGGGTAATAGTTTCTCTATGTCGTGTACTAACAGCAGTTGGTAATATAAACCATTGGATTCTGACTCTGGTTATGAGCTCAATGGGGTTACGTGCCGTCAACGGAACCTGAAGGCCCTGGGTTCGAGCCTGGAGGGATAGAGTCATAGGTGCGCACTGCTGACGATTCGCATACTAGAACGAAACAGCTGTTCAGTACTCTCAGGTTTCCATTCACGAACCTAGTTTCTGTCAAATGTAGGCTAAAAATGTTTTTATTTTTATATTGCACAGTTCATGGTATCGTTTTTCATTTATTATTATTATTATTAGTCCCTTGGGTTCCTAGTGGAACATAGGGCTTCAGTAGCACGTCTCCAATGACCTCTGTTCTCTGAGATCTTTTGAACCTGGTTCCACGACAGCCCAGAAGCTCTCATTTCCTCCTCGCACGATCTCCTCCATGTCACCCTCAGACGTCCAACTCGTCGCTTCCCATGGGGATTCCACTCGAGCAACTGGCCTGACGCGTGATGTCCTCAGTCGGCCTTCTCAGTGCATGTCCAATCCATCTCCACTTCCTCCTGCATATTTGTTGGGTGATAGGTTCTTGGTCGGTTCGTTCCCAGAGCTCTTTGTTGCTTATTCTTTCTGGCAATTCATCTGATCTTCAGTAGCTAGCCAGCGTAAGCAGTTGTTGATGAATGTCTGTAGTTTATTGGAAATCCCTTTCATGACGCGCCAAGTCTGTGAACCATACAGAAGCACTGACTTGACTGGGTTGGTGTTGAAAATCCGTATCTTGTCGTTTTTCATACATGGTGTTAGTAATATAACCTACAAGAGGGGGGGGGATGAATTGGCTACCTACACATTATTTTGACCAAGTGATCGGTTCTCTTTCATCTATTTGCAGTAATTGATTTTTTCCCCCAGCAAATTATTGTTTTCTGTTGCTTGGTCTCACATCATATTCATGAAGTTGACTTGCAATTAATGGGTCATGGTTGATTTGAACCCCACGAAAGGTACTAGGCAAAGTAGGCAAGTTGATTAATAAGATTGTAAACGTTCATCGATCGTGATAGCTTGAATATATGTACTGCACATGCGGAACCACTGCCTACCTCAACGTGCCATACATTCTAGGGAAAGTTAAATCACGTTAGAATAGCGTTGATTGTAACCAGACCAAGTCGTCAAACTAGTCAATAAAGTCTGTGACTGTTAGTCTCAATCGTGTATGAAGGTGGGGGAGCACCTGAGACCATAAGAACAAATAGTTGAAGATTCTTGATGACATAACTAGAAATCGATCACTCTTTGATGCCAGTCACTTTCCTTCCAATTTTTTTTTAATGCTCCTGTGAAGTGTGTCAAGTTGTATAGCTGATGTACTTGTGTGTGCTAGATGGTTTGTCTGCCTAGCTTAGTGGATTGCCTACTGTACTACTGTGCACTTCGATAAACGTTTTTGTGATAGTGTTTTTTTTTGTATAGTCTCCAGTAAATAGTATACTTTATAACGCAACGAAACAGATGAATTCACACGATGCGACAAAGTCTATCACTTTCGTCTGTTCAGTAGTTAAGTACCCCTAGGAATTATTTATTACTTTATTTGTCGCTTGAGTTCCTAGCGAAACATAAGGCTTCAGTAGCATATAGCCATTTCACTCACTTCTCTGCAGTCTTTTCAACTTCACTCCACCATTGCCAACAACCTTTCATTTCTTTCTCAAATCATCTCACCCTCGCCACGGAAGTCCAACTTGTTGTTTCCTATGCGGGTTCCACTCCACAATCTGGACTGGTGTATGAAGTCTCCAAATGGTCTTCTCAATGTATGCCCAATCCATCTCCACTTGCTTCTTCCGCATATATGTTAGGTGACAGGTTCTTGGTTGATTGGTTCGTGGCCAGGCTAGAGTTGCTTGTTACTTATTCTTTCTGGTCTTGTGATCTGATCTTCAATGTTAGTGTTGAGTGAGCGTAGGTGGCGGTAGTTGATTTATGTCTGCAGATTGTTGGAAATGCTTTGCGTAACGCGCCAACTCTCTCAAGCATCATATAGAAGCAGTGTCTTGACTGACATTAGGGTTGAGAATCCGGATATTGTTCACGCTTTATGCTGAATGTAATGCAGTGAAGTGCATTAGAGTGCAGTGGAATAGATCGTCACAGTGAATTCAGAATTATGGAGGAAGGCTTATGTTGCTGTCTTTGACATCCTCATCTGTGCCTCCGCCGCCGCCTGTAGTTGAGACAATGCCGTCTATGCTGAGTAGGTAGGTGAAAGAGACAACTTCCTTCAGATTTCTCCCATTGACGGTGAATGGTGCTTGTTGTTGGTTGAGTATCTTCATCACCTCTGTCTTCTCCACCTTCACCTGAAGGAAGTCCCGTCTTCGCTGCCCCTTCGCTTCGCCTCGCCTTTTCTGCTAACTTGTTAGTTTTCGCCTGTACATCTTCGAGTTTGTGTAACATCAGATATTAGACATAAATCATCATCGTTGGCGAAATCCATATCTTCTAGGGTCTTTTCATCAGTCAAACAGCGTATACCCATCTTCTCACTCCTCACAGTTTCTTGTATGATCTAGTCCGATCGAGTTGACCACAATCAGCAAGATCATCGGTGATAGTAGGCGGCAACCTTGTCTTATTCCTTCCTGTATTCACTCCGAAGGCATCACTAGCTATTCATAGTGTTATGAATCACTTGGCATATACCATCATATAGCATATAGCTACTGCTGAATGAAGTTGATAAAGGACAATGTGATTATTCCATAGTAGTGTAACATTGTCACCTCTCATTCTTCGTTTACTGTTGTTGACTTATCAATTCTGCGAGTTTTGTTGACATGTGTTAAATTTTTAACCAATCCTCCTCTCCCCCCTTATAAATATTGTATCATTTCTAGATTGTTTGGGATGATCGCCTTAAACAATGGATTGATATAAATGATCCTGATGGTAGTGAATTGAATAAAGTTCCACCTCCACCACCGATGACTTCATTTACACCGAAAATTAGTGAAGATGATGAGAGTAGAACATTAAATCCACCTAGTTATTCAACTTTTCCAGTGTCTAATCTGACAAATTCTACTGCTTATCATCATCCACCAACACGTATCAGTAATCCTCGATCACGTTATGTAAATATAATGTCGAATCAAACTAGTGAAACAGGAACAACTAAACTGGAAAGTATTCTACAACCTCCTCTTCCATACAATCCTGGTGGTGCACGTTTGTAATTATCCCCTTTTTTATTTTGGCATATACACAATATATGCAGTTAATTTATTCAGGTAAGTTGACATAATTCTCTTATCACTAGTTATATACTCTATATTATTACTATACGAATAATATGTGTATCTCCTTGTTTGTAACGAATTTCATTATCAGTTCATCAAGTTCTCCTACTGTCTTACTGATTGTGTAACTGTGTATCCCTAAGAGATTCGATATTCTGTAGGGGATTCGAAGTTAACATCACTGGTTGCTAACTTTGTAGACTGTATTCATCAAGCTATTTTTTTTTTCTCCCCAGACCATTACTGGATTGTACCTGTGAAGTGGCTTATTTCCCCCCCCCCCCCCCCCGAAATGATAACAGAAATCAGTGGCAACATGACTTAAAATTAGTCAATAATGGCACAGATGTATTCCCTACTTGGGAAGTAGGATCATCCCTGGTGGGTCAGTTACTGATGAAATCTTTGCACGAATACAAAAGGCTCGGCTGCCTGGCTTTTGCCAATTTATTCCACCTATAGCACCGCTGTGATATCCGTTTGTTTATTAAGGGTCACGTGTACTGCAAAGCAGTCTGGTGTGTTCTGCTGTATGGCTGTGAAACATGGCCATTGAAGGTGGAAGATATGCGAAGGCTTCAGGTGTTTGACCACGGTTGCCCTCGTAGTGTAAGTCGTATTTCGTGGTGTGTCGCTATATGAGTAACGCAGAAGTCAGGTATAGAGTTTTAGGGAGAGAGAAGAGGTAAATCAGTTCATACGGTTGTGAACCTTCATCGACTGAGATGGTTGGCTCCGACACGTACTACGTATGCCTAGTCACACAATGTTTGCTGAAGTACGTTCAGGCTGGAAAAAAGCCCTAGGTGGCCAGACTAAAACATGGCACCAATGCATTAAGTCTCTGACTGTTAATTTGAGCCACGTAGGGAGGTGATGCAGACTAGTCGATTGGGGTCGGCGGGACAATGGACTCTAGATGATATGGCTGTGAAGCGATGTTAATGGCGCAGATGTATACACACATTGTCCTCATCTTAACGATGCTATACCGAAACTCACCATTTTCTCATTCTTCCTTCATATTCCACTTCACTGCCTTTCTACTTGGTATACTGATATGAGATGTGACCAGTTGGACCGTTACGCAGTGTTGGTGGATGATGATGATATTTGACCTGGAACATATGAAACTTGTATGGGACGCTTCAGCAGTTCGCACCCATGACCTCGTCCCTACCCCATCTAAGATCGAACCCACGACCTTCAGGTGCCACCGGGTCGGAATCTAGTGGTCCATATTTTCAACTTCTGTCAGTTCACGATACATCGCTATCTACATCCAATGTCGTCGTTAGGTAGGTAGGTAGGTACCTGTCCACATATTTGACTGAGTTGACTCCACTGACCACGACTTCCTACTGGAACTTCGTGATTCACCTGTCACCAATGATCACTAGATTAATCCTATTCGGAGGTTTATCGATTGATTTTAGGTTGGAATTCATCAATTGGAGGAAAATTCGAAACCTAAGAGCACTGGACAGCTGACTGTTTCATCCCAATATGGTACTCTTCAGCGATTATTTATGCTAATCGAAGTAATGTATGAAGTATCAAACCTTTCTACATTAATATTTATTTCTTTTTCTTCAGTTTTATCCCTTGATGTGATCAAATCTCGTCTTGAAACAAACATGTACACACACACACCTTCAGTGTTTTCATCGGGGATATTGGTGATTTTTGCGGACATTTATTAACTGATGTCTATTAGCAATCTTGTGTGTGTGTGTGTGTGTGTGTGTGTGTGTGTGTGTGTGTGTGTGTGTGTGTGTGTGTATGGAATTGTATGCATATTACTTACGTACATGGAAATCGTTTGGTTCCGGTTTAGTTCTTACCTTATCCCCTCCACCCCGCATCCTCACGGAACTTTGATGATGATTTGTATCTGTGATTAAAGTATCTCATGTTTTGATTTTCTTTTTTTCCTTCTTGTTTTGTTGAATAAGTTTATCCTTTTTCTGTGTTATATTTGTAAGCTGTATGATTTATCTTAGTAGAGGTTCATTGATGAATATAATGATGAATGAAGTACTTTCCAGTGTTCTCTGAGTTAATCTTCCATCTAAGGTTTTTATCTTACATTTTATCCAGTAAGGATTTTATTTGAAGTGACTGAAAAAATTATGCGAAATATGAGAACGATAACCATAACGTAATGAGACACTTGGATTGGTTACGAACAGCGATCGTTCTTCCACAGACTCCTGATATTTCACTAAGCCGCAAAAATCAGAAGATGAAGATCGGTCAGTGACTGTAAAGAAAACAACATTTATATACACTTTCTTCTTGGGAAATTATGCCACTAGGTCAGAAGTTGGATGCTTATTCTAATTGGTCAGCTGAAGGTACGAAATTGTCCAATAAGATTTCTCCAGATGAAACAAGGTTGAAATGCAAAACTTCTAGCATATCCGGCTGATGATTTAAAATGTTGATTTTAATTTAGACCGCTTTATTTCGGTATACATAAGTATTTCATACAACGACGAAAAATTGAAAGGTAATAACATCAAACTGTACACTTTATACAAGGAGTTTTGAAGTAATGAGTACTGCGCTTGAATCTCAGTTGAAATAACTGATGAGAGTTAAATCGGAGAAATCTTGCATTCCATTGCTAGCCACTATCAATCACTATTGGTAAAGGGATGATGACCAGTGTGAAAGTTGAGACTAACTCACTAACCTTGTCCACACTTGTGCACTAGACAATGAGCCAGACCTGTCATATATGTGTGTGTTACGGCTAGTGATACTGTCTACCATACTGGCTAAACGTCTGTAGGTGGAGCGGTGTTAGAACTCATGCATGACCCATATGTTGAAAGTCATCTTTCCGTAAACAAATGAACCACATAGCCAATGTAGGGAATAATTAGAGCGTTAAATAAAGCATTCGAAACCTTACTCATTCACTTCTCAGTTTTGAATTCTAGACTAACTCATCTCTTCGTTGTCAAGCTCCACCGTTTGTAAATTATCTTTAGTAATTAAATATAAATACAGCTCGTTCTTGTCGCCAACTTGCTATGCCTAGTAAATGTGAAGCAGCGGTCGACGAGCGATGCATACCTAAGGCGTAAAGAATCAACTCTAATCGTTAATCAGAACGTCAACCACCGACACAATAAGAGAAGACATATCGTTGGTAAGAGTTTTAACTGTCTCATAAACAGCTGTGAGCAGTTCCGAATATATTCATCCTAAACGACCTTGAGGAACACTAAATTCATTGGTAAGTCTAAACAATTAACGACCAATGAGAGTTCAGCCTTCGGAAGCAGTGGGAAAAATAAAAGCCAGCAACAATGAGAAAACAGCAATAACGAAGTTATTTTAAGGTTATAGGCAAAATTAGAGGTATATAACACCTCCCCCCCTCGAGAGAGAAACAGATACAATAGCAAAATTAAATACCCCCATCTCTTGAGGTCGATTCGGAAACATATCCTTCAAGATTTTCTGTGATTGAATTGTCGCTTGAGTAAAAGCTCCTTTTTAACCTCGCTCGAGTTGATTCTCCATTACGTGGAGGTAGTTTAAAAGTTTCCGGTAGCAGTTCCAAGAGTATCTTGGGTTCTATGAACGTAACATGGAGATTTCGTATGTGATTTTGTTTCTCATTCACTTTTCATACTTGGCTGTAACCTTATCAGAGATCAATGCTGACCAACTGTCAGACCTTCTGCTCATTTTCTCTTTTCCTGGTCGATAGTTATGAGCGCATACCTGGTCGCTCTGGTGGAAGTACTCCACAGTATTTTCCCTTTGAACTGATGATGATAGCAAGATGAAATGATGGTGAGTATGTAGTATTATAAACATCTAGGCCATTGTGATTTCTAATGTCCTGAAAGAAAAGTTGAGCCTCGAGTTAGGTTTAATCATTATATAAATAAATTTTAAAATAATCCCAGCGTGTTTAAAAGATCAAAAACAAGATATTTCTTAGTTCCTCACTGTGTATACCACAACTTTCAGTGCAAAATATTCAAATTTTTACTCAACATCAAAATATATTGTTACTGGGTGATGATTAGAGGTGAAATGAGAATTGAGACCGCGGCCGGATTCGAAACAGCCACCACCGGATTTCCAAATCGATGCTCTGCCAACTAAGCTATGTGGTTCGACTGCTGACTAGATTTTTATTTCACTTCAGTCACAAGTGGGGTTATACCTAACTACCATGTGAATTGGTGACGCATTACTACCGTTTGAGCATCAGGCTGGGAACCCAGCGGTCGCTAGTTCGAATCCGGCCATGGTACAAATTTTCTTTTCACCTTCAGTCATCATCATCCAGTATAAATACTAGTCTGCCAAACTACAGCTGTCTCAAACAGTCGAAAATGATAATATCTTGATATTATTTGTTCGTCTCTTGCTAATGGAAACATTTATTTACTGATTGATTATACGCGCGCTGGTCATAAGAGTATGAAGAGATATGTCAGGCTCCATTTCTTGTATTCTCCAGTTAATTACTTCAAAGTCCATTTAGGTTGTTAACCGCCTATTATTATTTTTCCTATGGGTTCCTAGTGGAACAGGGCTTCAGTAGCACGTCTCCATTTCACTCTCTTCTCTGCAATCTTTTGAGCCTTGCTCCACGACAGCCCACAAACTCTCATTTCTTCCTCGCACGATCTCCTCCATGTCACCCTCACCCCGGACGCCCAACTCGTCACTTCCCATCTGGGTTCCACTCGAGTGCCTGACCTGGCGCATGATGTCCCCAATTGGCCTTCTCAGTGTATGCTCAATCCATCTCCACTTCCACTTTCTCCCACTGCATATTTGTTGGGTGATAGGTTCTTGGTTGATTCGTTGCCAGGCCAGAGTACCTTGTTGCTCATTCTTTCTGGCCATCTGATCTTCAGTAACGAGCCAACGTAAGCAGTAGTTGATGAATGTCTGTAGTT